TGTGCCCTACCCTACACAGAAGAACAGAAAGTATCCTTCGCCATTTTCACCTTCAAGGAAGATGCGCAGGAATGATGGCTTTTCACCTTAGAAAAAGAAGAGGTCGTGACTTGGGCGAGATTTGTAGAGGTGTTCTATGAAAAATATTTTCCAGAATCACTACGGGAGCAGAAAGCATCCGAGTTCTTACATTTGAGGCAAGGAACAATGTCAGTAGTGGAGTACAAAAGTAAGTTCACACGACTAGCACGATTTGCACCGTATGTTATTCCGACAGAAGCTCGAAAAGCAAGAAAATTCGAAGCAGGATTAGATACAGAAATCAAAGATAGGCTCGAGGTTCTAAAACTACCAACCTATGCAGAGGTGTGGATCGAGCATATATCGCCAAAAAAGGAATTAAAACTGCACGTTCTAATGGAATGGGTCAAAGAGGTGGTTTTGGGAACCAGTAGGAGGATCAAGAGCAGCCCCACCAAAGAAAGTAAATCTTGGATCTACTAGCTCAACTGGATTAGCCAACCAAGGTTTTACTATTCCCAAGGGTAACACCACTCCGAATTTTCCGAGTTGCGGAAAAGCTCATAGGGGACATTGCTATCAGGCAATAGGAGCATGTTATAGATGTGGCCAAGTTGGCCATGTGATGAAAAACTACCCGAAATTCACCAACTCTGTGATAAGTACCTCTGAACTAGCTCAGAAACCAAAAACCGCCACAGGAGGGAAGAAGGAACAAAGACGCCAAGAAAGAGCTTTTACATTAGTACCCAGAAACTCCAATGCTACGAAGAACGTTGTGACAGGTACACTTTCTATCTGTGGTCACTTAGCTCGTGTTCTCTTTGACTTTGGTTCCACTCATTCGTTTGTGGCACTACACTTTGTTTCCAAGTTAACATCAACACCTGAACCATTGGGATATGCATTATCTGTGGCTTTTCCATCTGGTGTCACCGCACTTAGTACAAACGTATACAAGTCCTATGTTATATCCTTAAAGGATAAAACCTTGTATGCGGATCTAATTCCACTCTGCATTGGTAGCTTCGACATAATCTTAGGGATGGATTGGCTTGCTAGCAACCATGCCTCTGTCGACTATACGACCAAAAAGATCTTTCTTCGGTTACCCGATCAACGTGAGCTGGTTTTCGAAGGAACTGGAGTTTCTACCCCTCCGTATTTGATATCCTCTGTTATAGCCTAACGGCTTTTGAGAAAAGGTTGTGGTGGTTGTATTTGTTATGTGGTCGACACTCAACAATAGACGCAACACTCGATTCAATACCGGTCGTTTGAGAATTTCCTGATGTTTTTCCCAAAGACTTACCTGGCTCCTTAGTTGATCGAGAAATCGAGTTCAACATCAACACTCAACCCAATGCACAACCAGTCTCCAAACTCCTTACCGCATGTCATTGGTAGAATTGAAGGAACTAAAAAAACCCAACTCCAGGAACTCCTGGACAAAGGCTTCATTCAACCAAGTACCTCACCATGGGGAGCTCCAGTACTGTTCTTAAAGAAAAAAGATGGCACGATGAGGTTATGCATTGATTGCCGGGAGCTGAACAAAGTCACTATCAAGAATCGATACCCCTTGCCAAGAATTGATGACTTGTTTGACCAACTTCAAGGTGCCCAAGTATTCTCCAAAATCGACTTGCGTTCCGGCTATCATCAACTAAAAGTCAAAACGGAAAGCATTGAGAAGACGACCTTCAAAACACGTTACGAGCACTATGAGTTTCTTGTCATGCCATTTGGCATCACGAATGCTCCAGCAGCCGTTATGGACCTCATGAACCGAGTGTTCAAGCCATATCTTGATGATTTCATCATCGTCTTCATTGATGACATTCTCGTATACTCCAAATCATCAGAGGATCATGAGCGACACTTCCGAACCGTGCTGCAAACATTACGTGATCACAAACTTTATGCCAAGTTGAAAAAATGCGAATTTTGGATTACTAGTGTACACTTCCTCGACCACCTCATCAATAAAGATCGCATCTCGGTTGATCCCCAAAAAGTTGCAGCAATCCTGAACAAAGTCACTATCAAGAATCGATACCCCTTGCCAAGAATTGATGACTTGTTTGACCAACTTCAAGGTGCCCAAGTATTCTCCAAAATCGACTTGCGTTCCGGCTATCATCAACTAAAAGTCAAAACGGAAAGCATTGAGAAGACGACCTTCAAAACACGTTACGAGCACTATGAGTTTCTTGTCATGCCATTTGGCATCACGAATGCTCCAGCAGCCGTTATGGACCTCATGAACCGAGTGTTCAAGCCATATCTTGATGAGTTCATCATCGTCTTCATTGATGACATTCTCGTATACTCCAAGTCACCAGAGGATCATGAGCGACACTTCCGAACCGTGCTGCAAACATTACGTGATCACAAACTTTATGCCAAGTTGAAAAAATGTGAATTTTGGATTACTAGTGTACACTTCCTCGACCACGTCATCAATAAAGATCGCATCTCAGTTGATCCCCAAAAAGTTGCAGCAATCGTGGATTGGTCACGACCTACTAACGTGTCTAAAATTCGAAGCTTCTTGGGTCTAGCCGGCTGTTACCGACGCTTCGTTCAAGATTTCTCGAAGATAGCATCACCCTTGACCCAGCTAACTCAAAAGAACACACCCTTTGAATGGACTGACAAGTAGGAACGTTGCTTCCAGGAGTTAAAAATAGGCTTGTGACAGCCCCTATACTAGAACTTCCCACAGGAACTGATGGGTTTGTAATTTATAGCGATGCCTCATACAATGATTTGGGTTGCGTTCTTATACAGAATGGGAAAGTCATTGCATATGCCTCGCAACAATTAAAGACTCATGAGAAGAACTACCCAACTCACAATCTAGAATTGGCTGCAGTAATCTTCGCCCTCAAAATCTGGCGTCATTATCTTTACGGTGCAACCTGTGAGATTTACACCGATCACAAGAGTCTTAAATATCTGTTTATGCAGAAGGAACTGAATATGCAGCAACATCGATGGTTAGAATTTATGAAGGACTACGATGTAGAGATCCATCACCATCCGGGCAAAGCTAACGTAGTAGCAGACACATTAAGTCGAAAGACTACCAGAAGTTTGGCATGTATCTTCGTCCCCTGCAAGATCAATGGACTGCTCGCCAACGTAATTGCGGAACCCACATTGATTGAAGAAATTAAAGCATGCCAGTGTGAAGATAAACTTTTGAAGAAAAAGTACAAAGAGCAGAAAACTACTCCTGATCTTGACTTCACTATAAGCAATGGGATACTAAGATTTCGCAATCGAATTTGCGTACCTGATGTACCAGAGCTCAAGAAGAAGATATTGGTGGAAGCTTATAGCTCGAGGGTTGCAGTTCACCCTGGCAACACCAAGATGTATCATGATCTGAGAGAACACTACTAGTGGACAGGTATGAAAAAAGACATAGCAGACCATGTCTCCAAATGCTTGCAATGTTAACATGTTAAAGTGGAACATTAGAAACCTGCAGGGTTACTACAACCACTCCCTATTCCTGAATAGAAATGGGAGCACATTACTATAGATTTCGTGGTTGGGCTACCACAGTCAGTTTCAAAGAATGATGCGATATAGGTTATAATAGACCGATTAACGAAGTCAGCGCATTTCCTACCAATCAAAATCACGTACTCCCTTACTAAGTTCGCCACTCTATACATCAAAGAAATCATTCGATTCCATGGTACCCCAGTGTCAATCGTGTCTGACCGAGACCCCCACTTTGTATCTCACTTCTGGAACAGATTGCAAGAAGCTTTAGGAACAACACTGAAGTTTAGCACTGCTTATCACCCGTAAACTGATGGACAATCCGAAAGAATAATCCAGACTTTGGAGGACATGCTACGGATGTGCGTATTGGACCTCAAGGGTAATTGGGATAAGCACCTACCTCTAGTGGAATTTGCCTATAACAACGGCTACCACGCAAGCATCGGTATGGCACCATATAAAGCATTGTATGGAAGGAGATGTCGGTCACCCCTATGTTGGGAAGAAGACGGAGATAGGAAACTATTAGGTCTCGAAATCGTGCAAATAACGAGTGATAAGATTCAACTCATCCAACAGCGAATTCGCACAGCTCAAAGTCGCCAGAAAAGCTATGCGGAAACACAGAGACGAGATTTGAAATTTCAGGTAGGAGGGCACGTTTTCTTAAAGGTCTCACCAACAAGAGGAGTCATCCGGTTTGGAAAATGAGGAAAGTTGAATCCGCGTTACGTCGGACCATTTGAAATACTAGAGAGAATCGGCCTTGTAGCATACCGTCTTGCTCTTCCACCAGAATTGTCCAATGTTCACAATGTGTTCATGTTTCGATGCTTCGAGGATATTTTCGGGATCCAGAACATGTTGTCAATTATGAGAGCCTCGAAGTTCAAGAAAATATCTCTTATGAAGAACAACCCATGCAGATCCTCGATCATCGGGACCAAATTCTCCGAAACAAAACTATACCTCTTGTCAAAGTTTTATGGCGAAACCATCGTGTCGAAGAAATTACGTGGGAAACTGAAAACCAAATGCAAGCCAAATACCCACACTTTTTTGAAAACCAAGGTACGTCAAGTTTGAGGACAAACTTCCATTTAAGAGGGGAGAAATGTGACACTTTAATTGTTTAATTAATAAAAATAAATAAATAAATAAGTAAAATGAAATAATAATAATAAAAATAAAAATGAATAAAACTACTAGGAAAACATTTAAATGACATGTGCTCAAATGTAATCTAATGATTAATTATGTTAGAATTTGGACCAAAGATAAATAAATAAAAAGTAAATAAAAAACTATTCAAACTTATCCCAAATGGATACGTTCATATCCTCTAGAGCATCAATTACCTAGCTTAGGCAGCGTGTCCCCTATGAACTTGCTGGGCAAGTTTAATGCTTAGTATAAATAAGAGGATTGATGTGAAGAGATCAAGAAAAAAAAAACACAAAACAACCAACAAACGTGATCGGGTGAGAGAGTCAGCTCGCGGAAGAGGGGAGCCCAATTAGGAATTACTAATTAGGTGAGTGATGTTATACCTTGAGCTATGTTTTATATATGTCTTGAATTACCATAATATATTTTACGAATGTTTTGAGTTATCACAATTTCTCTTTATATAAATTATGTTTTATAGTTATGCTAATGTTTTAATTACGTGGATTATTTTTCTGAACTCCATTCGTTTAAATTGAAACCCATGGATATATTTGTTTAAATTTTAGAAAATATTTGACAATGGTTTTATAAACATTTGTTTTGAATAAGTACCACCACAGAGGTCTCATGCCTTGGGGGACTTAAATAATTACTGGCCCTCTGAATTGTCACTTTAGTGACCCTCTGACAGTCTCATGTCTTGGGGGACTTAAATAACCTTTGGCCCTCTGATTAGTCACTTCGTGACCCTCTGTTTGTCATGGATCCATTGACCCTCTGTTCTGCTCTGTACCGTAGTTATGATTATTATGTTATATGTCTCTTATTAAGAATAATTTCTTTGATTCAAACTATTCATCTTTAGCCTAAATGATTATCCATGGTGATTTTATACCCTCATGCTCTCAGTATAATATTCTCACTCTACCATGTGCTTATAGCTGTTAAAACCCCTTTCAGATGAAGAAATTTAAGGAATGATGGTTTTACCCTGTGGATCAGAACTTCAAATTTGATATGAATATCATGTTTTTTTTCTTGTAATCAATATCCGACTAATGTTATATCATAAATGATAATTTCCATGTATGCTTTGGATATTAATCTACTTCCTTTATTTTATTTCGCTGCATTATTTAAATTAATTACTTGTAATTACTCGGTGGGATTTTAGGATTAGTTAGTCGCTATCCAGCCTTGGACATCGGGATGGGTCATGACAGTAACCATGTAGATTTATTTCTATTGATTATATAACTTTTTATAGAATTTCAATTTAATAATAATTTGAAATATGGACTTTTGTAGGATTGGATCAAAAATCTATGAAGCTTAAAAGGAACCCTCTGTTCTGCTCTGTACCGTGTACCGTAGTTATGATTATTATGTTATATGTCTGTTATTAAGAATAATTTCTTTGATTCAAACTATTCATCTTTAGCCTAAATAATTATCCATGGTGATTTTATACCATCATGCTCTCAGTATAATATTCTCACTCTGCCATGTGCTTATAGCTGTTAAAACCCCTTTCAGATGATGAAATTTAAGGAATGATGGTTTTACCCTGTGGATCAGAACCTCAAATTTGATATGAATATCATGTTTTTTTTCTTGTAATCAATATCCGACTAATGTTATATCATAAATGATAATTTCCATGTATGCTTTGGATATTAATCTACTTCCTTTATTTTATTTCGCTGTGTTATTTAAATTAATTACTTGTAATTACTCGATGGGATTTTAGGATTAGTTAGTCGCTATCCAGCCTTGGACATCGGGATGGGTCATGACAGTAACCATGTAGATTTATTTCTATTGATTATATAACTTTTTATAGAATTTCAATTTAATAATAATTTGAAATATGGACTTTTGTAGGATTGGATCAAAAATCTATGAAGCTTAAAAGGAGAAATACGACTAGCTCGCTTCGATGGTAATATAATAAGGTAATTTCAATCTCAAAGTATTTTAATATGTATATTTCCAACAAATGTACTAATCTATATTTTTTTTGTTTCCACAAATTACCAGATTGTTGTGCATGTTTCTCATTGAGGATACATACAAGTTGATACAAAGACTTTTTGAAAAGTATTGAGGAGGAAGTTTGAGCAAACATATGTTTGAAAACATGTTATTGATACATATTTCGGAAAGCTTTAACCCACTTTTTGTAAAATTTTAACCGACTCTTTTGGTGTATGACAATATAATGTTTGTTTTTCTTATGTAGTTATAATTAGATTGACAGTAGTATCACTAACTGGTGTGTATTTTAATTTTAATTTCTTTTAGATTGCAGAGCACTGGCTGGCATACATTATTTGATATTTAATTTTTTTTTTAATATTTGATTTTTTTGGAATTGTAGAGTACAGGCTGTTATTTATTGTTTGATATTTAATTTTCGATTCAATTTGTTGATGTGCTTTATTATATAGATTTAGTAATTTTTTTTATTATTATAAAACGTTAACAGGTGTACAATAACTTTAATTTATGTTTTTGCTCAGTGTTTACAATTTTTTGTTTCTTAATTTGCATTAAGATTAGGGAGAGTTATTATTTTATTTGTGTTTTGTAGAGCATGTAATATAAGCAAAATTGTTCCAAGTTCTTCAGGAAGAAAAATATTTCAATATATTTTTTCAATATCTTTATTAAAAAATGACACAAATTTCGTAAATTTCAACATAATACGTGTAAATTATAACTGTATTTTAATCTTAATATTATTTGTACCGTGCTACACTAGTAATAAAATATGGTGCAAGTTCATTAGGGATATAATTCACACCATATTAGACCTGAATTTAGATCATATATTTCATTATTTATGCACTTTCTCTATGTTAGTAACTTTTCCCGTATTAATTTCATGATTAAACAAGTCTCTTTTGCTTTGCAAACGTCATACATATATGCAAGATCAGCTGGAAAAAGTAGAAAAAATTATTGGTTGATTTTAGAGTATCCCGTGGTGTAACGTGGTGATATTTTTCACCAATTATAATTCATCATGCCTCCTTATATTACTATATTCACTCAATCCAAATTCATGATCACATCGTTTCACAAATCACAATACAAGCCCACCAACCAATAACTTGTCAAAAAGTAGAGCTGATTTGTTGGCTTCTTTCTAATAATTCAAATTAACAAATCAAACAGAATCTGGATATCATAAAGCCGTTGAGAATTCAAAAAATTTAAACGTTGGAGAGAGTGACAAGACCAAGCTGAAAAAGACTGAAGCTCCTTCCAACCAACGTGGTTTTGAGTTGAGTGAGAGACCCCACCGCCTACAAATAAAAAATTACACCACTCAATTCTTTTTCTCTTCCATGTCTGACCCACCTTTTTGCACAACACACACAAACCTCTAAAGCTTCTCAATTTGAATTTCAAATTTAAAGTGGAGAGAGAGAGAGAGAGAGAGAGAGACCATAAACCAAAATCATTGACAAGCTAAGCAACAGATCAAAGTTGGGTTTTTTGAGCTTCTCTTACTGCGAAAGCATGGGTGAATCAGCTTGTCTCATGAATTCATTCTCTTATGCCTCTGGCATTTCCAACGAAGCCAAACAGGTCAGTTTCGAACAATCAATACCGATCTCTTTCTCTTTCCAAGTACTAATAGTTGGGTTCTGTTAATTCAGTTAAATAGGTAATGGGTTTTTTTTTGTAAATTTCACCCAGTTCAACTGTCATTTTTCTTATCAGAAAGTTTTTAGTTTTTGTTTCTACAAGATTTAAAAGGTGAATTCAATTGAATCAGAACTGGGTTTGGACTTAATTTCTAAGATTACAAACCCATATTACAGGAAAGTGTTTTTACAAATGGGAAAATAGTGTCTTGCAGGGAAACCCCATGCATGCTCTTGGAGAGTCGATCTCTTTTGGGAGGTTCATGACAGAGTCTTTATCTTGGGAAAAATGGTCGTCTTTTTCGCACAACCGCTACGTTGAAGAGGCTTCGAGGTATGCTCAGCCAGGATCAGTAGCTCAGAAGAAAGCTTTCTTTGAAGCTCATTACAAGAGAATTGCCGCTGCCAAGAAGGCAGCAGCTTTGCTTGAGCAAGCAAATGCAGCTAATAATGCCGATTCTGAGCCAGAATTTCAAGACCAGGCTTGCAATAGTACAACCCATGATTCACAATGTACAATGACCAATTCCCTATTTGATGAACAGCTTGAGGTGAAGAACACAGGTGCAGAAGTTGATTCCATTGTCGATGTTAATGGCTGCAATTCTTGGGTTGAAATGGAGATTGGTATGGTGGAAGCAGCCGACTCTGTAGCAGAAAATGAGGCATTAGTGGAGAATTCTACGAAGAACAGATCATTAAACCATATTGAGAATGTTGTGAACCAGACTACTATGGTTTCTGAAGTGGGGTTTGGTGAATCCCCTTTAATGGAGAAAAAACCTTTGTTGGAGGTGATGCATTAATGACACATAATGAATAAGTCTAACAATGCAAAAACCGAACACAGAATGTATATGTAAAGACAAGATTTTTCAAAAATAAGTCCCACTTTTAAATTTTGTAAAATCCTGTCAATTCATGTAAATTATGTGTTTATTTCTGTATTTAGTTTCAACTAATTGTTTTTTGTTGATAACACAGCAGGGTTTCAAGTCTGGTCAGGTGGCTCCGTCGCCTGTGAGCAAGAAGAAGCCACCATTTTCATCTTCAAAGTCATCAGTTCACCGAAGAGCACCGAAACTTTCAGCTACACCTGCCAAACCCACAGCTTATATTCATCCCATAAAGGAAAACGATGTCACTCCAATTACCAGGAAGTCCCCAATTGACTCCGTGAATAAAAAGAGACCAACTTCAAAGTGTCCGCATACACTAATTTATTCTACTCCAGCCAAAGAACCAGACAAATTAACGATCTTAGCCCCTCGAAAAACCGAAAGTTCAAGAGTTGCTCATAGCTCTTACAAGCCATCTAAAGATTTCAAAACTCCTCTTAGAACTCCAACCATGGTGCTTACTGTTTCTTATACTTTGAGCTTCTACATCTTTCTTATAAACCATTTTCTGAATTCTCTGTTTTGAATTATCTGCAGGCTTATTTGAATGGGGTATTAAAGAATCCTTCAGCAACCCCTTGTTCAGAAAATATAAGGTACACGACCTTCTCTTTTTCTTTTTCTTTTTTATAGTGAAAAAAACAAATGTGAGAAACAATGTGAGTTTTCAGATGTACAAGTATAACCAATAATGAATGTCATTGAATATTTGAGCTTTGTTAATGTTTAATTTTGTGTTATCTGCAACTTACAGGCCTAGAACACCACAGGGTCCCTCAGCTTCTGGAAGCAAAACAACTGGCCCAAAATGGCAAATCCTATCTACAGTGTAAGTAGTTTCCAATCTGATTGGTACCAGACCTACTAGATTTACCAGTAGTTTTCAGTGCTATGGTCTGGGTGAAAAAGGGGTTCTTGTTGGGCAGTAGGATGTGGCACCTCAGAACGGCACAGTTTTAAAGCTTAAAAAGCCCAAAATTGTGTCATTTTGAGATGCAGCATCTCCACTGCCCAACAAAGACCCCTATTCCGGTGAAAAGTCACCTCATCCTGTCTCTAATTGTCCTGAAAAATAAGCAATTAAACTGAAATTTCCATGCGATGTTCAAAATTGAAGATCCCATAAGACCTAGCTGTATCTGTGCCATTCAACTATGATAAATTTCTCTAATAGTCTGTTGTATATGTATGCCAGTTGTACCAGGTCGTTGAGTGCCTGCAGAAACAAATTACAGTCACCGACTACATCTGCTCCTTTTAGCTTGAGGACAGAGGAAAGAGCTGCAAGAAGAACGCAGGCAAGCCTTGGCTCAGTTGTTTTTCCTCTTTCTTTCACTCAAATCTGTTTCTTGTGCTATAGTTATGCCTCATTAAAGATGTCCTCGATCTTACTTGGTCCTTTTTTCTGTTAATTGTTTCAGAAGCTTGAAGAAAAATTCAATGCCAAGGAGGCAGAGAAAGTGCAGCTGCAGACTAGATTAAAGGTCAGAATTTCATTTCAAAGCTTTATTTTGATGGTTAATAATCTAGTAATAAAATTCAATTCGATTCTATCAACTAGGCACAATCTATAACAAATAACATCAAGATTTTCTTTATCCATGCAGGATAAAGCAGAAACAGAAACGAGAAAATTGCGTCAAAACCTCTGCTTTAAAGCCCGGCCACTACCAGAGTTTTACAAGGAAAGGGAAACGCCAAAAAATCGGATAAAGAAAAGGGTACCTCTTTCATGCATCAATTATAGTGTCCTCAACATTGGCAGAGATCAATATATTATAAATATTATTGCAATACTATCTTAAACATGTTCACTTTTTCCATTTAGATACATATAAATTTCCACACCAAGCCCTTTAATTTTCTTCCAATATTCACTCAGCCGAGAGCTTATAATTGCGTACTTTTTCCTATCTTATAGGTTGGCATGACTTTTTTCTCATTTATCTTGCAGACTCCATTGACCCGTCCTCAGTCACCCAAGCTGGGAAGAAAGTGTACTTCCAGCACACTTCAAGGTCTAACGTCTCAACCTCCAGTGACACACTCCACCAAGAACAGTGGCCCCAAGAATGTCCTAAAACAGAGAAGTCATATTCCAAATTGTCTCACTTCACTACCTGAAATGATGATTACCCATGAGAATGCATCTCCAAATATTCAGCATTAGTCGGAAAAAGCAGGAGTGTGCTTGAGTTGATTGGGAGCAGAATGATTTTGTAAATTGTTTCTATGTAGAAAAACTAAAAAAAACATGACATAGAGGCTGAACTCCAAATTGAGATTGCCAGAGATAGAGATAATTTCCCTCAAATAGCAGTATTATGTAGGCTGTATTATGCAAGTGGATATACACAGAAGTTATAAGCTGCTGATGTGAGTCATGATCGATAAAGCATCATACTCCTATTTTTCTTATGGAATCTGAACAGTGTTGTGGGAATTAAAAGGTCTGCCACGAGTTTGAAAAAATAAATAATAAAAAATCAACAAGACACTAACCGATCCTCAGGGAAGACTAAAGTTTTTGCTAATTTAAGGGTGGGGCAAGATCGTTTCTTGTGCAAAGTTCAATTGAAAAACACATTCCATGTTTGGCAGAGGTAACACACACTCAAATAGCTTAAGATAACTCCGAAAAAGCAGAACAAATAAAACACACTGGGAATGCTCTTCTGTGGATCAAGAACAGAGCAGCAGCATAAGTAGAAGTCCCCGCTCTCAAGGAAAGTGTCCCTACAGTAGCAGAGAGAGGAAACGAATCTGCATCCATATGTAAACACATCCAGAATCAGTTTATTTCCGTTGCTAAAGCGCTTTCCAATGCACAGCTACGAGAACGAATCAATACCTTCAAACGTGGCGCTATAGAAAGGATGCGAGCAGGTCAGTCCCCGTCTCGCGAGCTCGGCCAAGTAAGATAAGATGCGAGTCCATACCACCTTCTCTTGAAAGATCAGCTTTCGGTGCAGAACAAATAAAACACACTGGGAATGCTCTTCTGTGGATCAAGAACAGCCCACCTATACAAAATGGGGTCGGGTCATCTTCAAGATTGTTAATATTGTATCGGGACTTGGAATTTGCAACATACAAGTCCACCTACAAAATGGGGTCGGGTCATCTTCAAGATTGTTACATAAGCATACCTTTAATATTGTATCGGGACTTGGAATTTGCACCATACAAGTTGTTTCTTGATTAAGTGCTGGTAGCTTTCTTGTTGATCTGCACTGACCAGGCTTTTAAGGGTAACACTACAAACGAAGAAAAAAGCACCTTTACATATCAACATAAGCCATCTGTGTTTGATTCTGCAACTAACTGAAAGTAATGCTTAAAACAAGGAAAACATTAAGAAGATATTTCCCTTGATATACAAGCTGTAAAATGTCAGTAACTATTCAAGATTTACTTGTGTGTGCATGTGCTGTTTCTAGGGTGGAAATGTGATTTAAAAGAAGGAAATACTTGTCTACATTCCATCACAAATTCACAATGCATATAAAGCTGAACTGTCAGGGGAATTCAGAGGGAAATAAAAATAACAAACAAATAATTAAGGTAAATGATCGGAGTAAGAAATTCTGTTTTCAGTCATCTTCTATTTGCTGTTTGGATAGAAAAAGTTGATGCATGAAGGCACACACTTTATAAAGCTATGTTTCGTACCTCCAGTCACTAAATGAAATGTCTTTATACAGGATTCTGGCAGATGCCTCAATTTAAAAGGCAGCAATTTTGTAGTGCTAAAGTCAGCCATATCAGGGTTCACAAACAGCATACAAAGAACAAAAGAAGTCGGAAAATATGAACAGTAACACATTTTTGCGCTCCATAAACTTTTTCTCAACAAATTTACCATCATACAGTGATTTGCTACATCAATTGAACAGCCATATTGTATTATGCCACCACATTTTGTTTAAGATCTATCACCTAACCCCAGAGAACCTAAAGTCTTCTTGTAAACTGCAACCAAGATTGTCATAAATCAATTCATACCCTTGCATCTTTTGTCCACCTCTTCAAGATGTATCGAGCTGGAACCACTTTTATGTTCCTGTAATCAAGCACTTTTAATGCATGGCTACACAACACCCCGTCAGCCTGAAACTTCATACAGCTGCAGACAACTGAATCTTCGGATGAGTTAAATATAACTGTGTACTCTCGCACTTGCCGATAGATGCTGACTTTGTACTCAAACAAAGGCACATTCTCTGTACATTGGTTAACAACAACACTGAGACAATTTTCATATTCTTGCTGAAACAATTCAAAAATCTTTGGGGTGTAAACATCCCTTACACGCTTTAATAGAATCACATCCCCCATAAGTCTTGGCATGCGCTGGCTCATATCATAGTTAGCTTCTAATTCTTTGTAGCGCCAATCATTCACCAACCTTCCAAAGTGCTTGAAAAACTGAAGAACATCTAAGTCAGATTTTAGATACTTCCTAAAGTTAGTAGTATTGAAACTCTCAGACAGTTGTGCACTTTTTATGTCAGCACAAAAAATATGTCTGCCATATGGTATAGCCCATTTCTCTCTTTCTCTGAATATGTCATCCAACCATTTATCTTCCCAAAGACCATACATGTCCAGCATAGTTTTCCATGCATCAACAAAATCTTGTTCCTCGTCATGATTAAAAATGCAACTGCTTAAATCATTGGAAAAAGAATCCAAGCCCACAATTACTTGGCTAAGGTGTTTGAGTGCATTTTGGTACACATGCCATGCACATAATCGATGGTGTGCTTCTGGTAATACTGAATTGATTGCTTCAGCCATTACAGCATCTCGGTCAGTGAGGATTGTCTTTGGCTTCTTTTTAGACATCTCAAGAAATGTTCGAAATAGCCACCGAAAAGATTCAACAGTATCATCATATAAAAGTGCTGCACCAAAGATCACCATCTGCTTATGATGATTCACTCCAATGAATGGTGCAAAAGGTCGGCAATCTTTGTTTAGTTTGTAAGTCATATCAAAGCAAACCACATCACCAAAATCACCGTAGTCCACTAGCATCTTTGCATCAGACCAAAAGACATTGGTCATTTTACCTTCAGCATCAAGTTGTACAGCATAAAAGAAAGAAGGGTTTTTTAATTGCTTGTTTTGAAAGTACTGAAGAATACTTTCTGATTCTCCCTGTTTCATATCTCGCATGCGCCTTGCTGGTAGATTACTTTCATAATCTATGGGACGATAACCCACACTCTCCCCATCTCCAACTGGCTTACTTATTAAATCAGAGGCTGATTTTGGCTGCATCCCAGAATCATCTGTTGCAGTGGCTTCTGAAGCTGACCTCTTTTGCGATCGTAACATGCGAATTCGACAAGGGGGTTCAAGCTCATGATTGTGTTTTTGTTCAAAATGAGTGACACGATATCTACCACCAGGTTGGCGCGCAATGACCAATTGTGCCAAACAACCAATTCTTGTTTCCTTTCGAGGTCTCTTCACATTTAAATCCCTTTTATGTTTTTGCCGGAAGCCTTCTCTAAAACAAGTGAACCTTCTAGATGCCACAGCACCATCAACCTTACTCCTATTAACATAATCCTTGCGAACACTAAAACCTACTCGTCCAGCATATGCATTGTAGAACTCATAAGCATGATCTTCTGAGTCAAACCCCATTCCAAGTTTTGGTACCCCTTCTATCACACAGTTATTATCTAGTTCAGCTTCAACAGCTTGAGCAAAAGTTATTCTCCTCTGAGATGGTAGCATATTGGCTGTAAATGGCGTTGCAAACTCATGATTGTGTTCTGTTTCGAAATGGGTGACACGATACTTACCATTAGCCTGACGTGCAATAGTCATATGTGCCAAGCAACCTGTTCGTGTATCCTTTCGAGGCTTCTTCACATGCGAGTCATGCTTGGTAGACCGATAACCTTGCTTATAACAAGTGTACCTTCTTGATACCACAAAACCATTTACCCTACTTTTATTTACAAAATCTTTCCTAATGCTGAAACCTTCCAAAGCAGCATATCTGTTATAGCACTCATATGCATGGTCTTCTGATTCAAACACCATGCCAAGTTCTGGTACAACATATCTGTCAGCTTCATCTTTTCCAGAAAAATGACCAGAACCTGGTGTGCCTACCAATGTATCGTCCAGGCTTTGACACTCCTGCTTACTATCTACATCTATTCTCGGGTTGTCCATAGAGGAGACTTTTAGATTGTGGCCCTTGTGCTTATCATCAGCGTCAATCACATATTTGTCAACAGACGAAAAATCTGGGCTCTGCCACTGTTGTTCTCCATCCATGTTCATCCCATTTTTATCAACAGAAGAACCTTTTGAGCTCTGACACACTTGCTCACCATCAATGTCAATGGCATTCAAGTCAGCAGCTGAAACTTTTACACTTTGGCACTCCAGCTCCACATCAATGCCCAGACCAGATGACAACAGTGATATGTGCACCATTTCCTCTTCATTCGGGTGGCTTGTTATATCAGCCTCACAACCATCCATGGACCTTCATTGCGAGGAAGAAAATAGGTAAAAAACAACAAAAACAGAATTCAAAGAAGATTAAGAAAAAAAAAAAACATAGTTATTGTGTCTTTGCATGACAAGATTACACAACACATACGAACATAATATTCCATATAGAATGCATAACATTAACATCAATCCTAAGAGGGCTCACTACATTCAGCATGACAGAGCATACAAATCAGCAATTTGTAGGAGACAAAGCATATAACATACAAAATGGCTTAATTCTCAAGCTGTTAACATACAAGCATTAGACTGCCCAATCATCAAGCTAAGCAAATATAACTGTATAAGCAAGACAACAACCATCCATTCCACCCATCTCCCATAGTTTCTCCCATTGAAGATACAAAAGAAAGAAAAAAGTTGTACAACATACTCTATTTGATTGCTGATAAGAACTACAATTGACAGCAGGAGACGTATGTCGCACCAAATTTCAGAAATTATTATGGGTCTGCACCTTCGTTAGAAACCCAATCCAATCCTTCATCAAATAAATTTGATGAAAATTTTGGTGAAAACGAGGTCCAATCCTTTCATCAAACTTGTATCAAATCAATGGAGAAGCAAATTTTTTATCAAATCAAGGATGAACCAGAATCTTTCACCAGATTTCCAACAAGCCTTTTTCCACTTAAGTTTGATGAAATTGTTAAAAGATGAAGGATTGGAGTTGGAAATTTTTCACCCAAATTGATGAAAAGTGAAATTTGGGATGAGAAAGTAATTTCTTTAAAAGATTTTGATGAAAATTTGACGAAAGGATCGGAGGGGTTCATATCAAATCAAGCTTTTTACTCAAATTTGGAATCAAATTAGATGAAAATTTTGATGAATGATTGGAAATAGTGTGTGCTTGTGTGCCTTTCGTGTGTGTATATCGCATCAAATGAACCGAAAGACACTAAAAAGATTACTGCATAATATATAGAGATGAAGAACAAACCCAAAAGCAGTATTGAATGAACCACCTCAAAAGATCCTAATTTCGGTCAGGCCCCAAAGTTAAAAGACACCATTTTCCTGAATTTTCTTGGGTTTTCGATTCTCATTCGTGTTTATAGATAATTTTATATACATACACACATCACATATACATATGAAGATAGATGAATACCTAATAGATGAAAGTGAATAGATGCTGGGGGACTCGAGCAGTGACGAGTGTTTCAAAATCAAAGGCATATAAATATATAAACATGCATACAGAGTGTATACGTCGGATCTGTAACTGAGAAATCGGATTTCTAGGCCTTCTTCAAGCTATTCGGTGTGATATGCTCGAGAGAGGAGGAAAAGAGAATACAGATTGAACTCGACAGACTTCTTCTGCATCTCTCTCTTGCTGATGCGAAGTTAGAGGTGGAATTTCAGATAAATGAAAAATGAAAGAAATTAGTAATTGAAAATAAATACCATAATAATAAAAATAAAATTAGGATTAAATTTATTTCAAATTTTAAATTTAAAGTTGAAAGAATGGTTTTGTTTTAACAATTTAAATGGTTTATTTTGTATATTTATAAAAAAAAATAAAATGGTACATAAGTGATTGTCAATAAGATTTTAAAAAATGATTCTAACTTTTAGATTTAAATAACAATACTCAAAAGTAAAATAATTGAATCAATCTGGTAATTATAATTTTTTTATTTTTGTAAGTTTATTTATTTTTAAAAATATAAATTGTTTGAATGTTTTTACTTTAGGTAAATTACAAATATATTCCTAAGGTTGGTTTAAAATACAGATTGTCTTAAATGGTTTGAAAAATTATAAATACTCCCTTATTAGAATTTTTTATTTAACAGAATTAATTAAAAAAATGAAATTCATAATTTCTCTTTTATACAATAATAAAATTACTTAAATTATTAATTGAAACATTATTAGAAATTATTAATTGACTTGATGATTTATTAATAAAATTGGTGATTTGTTACAAAATTAAGGGTACGTTTGGTTTGACTTTATAAAGTGATTTTGAAAAAAAAATTTCTAAAAAACTTGTTTGGTTTGTAATTTTTCCAAAACAATTCTCTTCTTCTCAATCACTTTTTCTTTCACACATATTTATTCAATTATAACAAAATATCAAATCATTCCAAACTCTCAAACTCCAAAACTACTTTCAAAATACACAATCAAACAAACTAAAAAAAATTTTAAATTCTCTACCCAAAATAATTTTTAAAAACTACTCTCTCAAAATCAAACCAAACCAAACATACCCTAAAAATCTTAAGGGATATAATATAATTTCTAAAATTACAGAAATAATTCGTATTTTAATGAAATTTTAAGGTGTATTTGAAATTTACCATTTTACTTTTAGAGTGATTTAAGTTGGAATTTTTTTTAATAGTTTGGAAGTTTTATTAGGGTATGTATAGGTGATATTTTCAATCAGCGCAAAAGAAATTGATTAGGTTAACTTTGTTATCAATTGACCAAAATAAATTAGATGATCACAAAGCCAAATTATACGATAATTCCATCCACTGCACGGAAAAAAATAGTAAAATAAGGATTTTTATATTATTCTTCAAAGGGCAAAGTGTGGATGTCACAATCGTCATCCAGAATCATTCCATTTAATCCATACAAACGTAATTACAATTTAAGGAGGAGGAGGAATCATTGACAATGGATACGCTTAATCAAGTTTTGATTATGAAAAGTGCTAACCAAAGAAAGAACTACATTTCACCAACAACCAAACACCAACCTTCATCTTCATCAGCCCGATCCCACACAAGTCCCACATCACAAAAGCTCGTCGTAACCTCACTTTCCTCGTCACCCTCATTTTCACGGTCCTGATCTTCATCATTCTTAATAATTTCAACGGCTCCTGATCACAAATCACGATGAGCCGAACTCACACGAGTCCTCCGCATAGGCCTCATCCTCACAATCATCATCATCATCCTCATCCCAATAATCATTATTATCCAAATGATCCAATACCCGACTAACCGAAAACCCGGGAAAATTCAAGCCGGGTTTAGCATCCACGACTCGCCAAGTAGCTAACCGACAATTAGAGACCAAATTGGCGGAGCGGAGCTTATGGGTGGCCTTGGTCTTGTTGATGGACTTGGAAGCCGGGTGTTGATGACACCCACGGCACCTGGGCCGGCCACACTTGCCCGTGAACCTGGAGTGGTTAGTGGGCTTTGGTGCAACCTTGGTGAACATCCCGGCTGTCGGGGGCGAATCGAACCGGTGGGCAAATTACATATACACCCCTCCAGGTTTGACAAAATTACAGATACCCCCCTGAGGTTCGAGAAATTACGAATTCTCCCCTGAATGCTATATTTGCATAAGAAATTATGGGGTAATTTGTTATGAAATATAAACCTCAGGGGGTAAATTGTTATGAAAATACAAACCTCAGGGGGCGGGATATAATTTCCGAAACCTCAGGGGTATCTGTAATTTAACCAAACCTGGAGGGGTGTATATGTAATTTGCCCATTTTAAAAACTACTCTCTCAAGACCAAACCAAACCAAACATACCCTAGACATCTTAAAGGATATAATGTAATTTCTAAAATCACAGGAACGATTCGTATTTTAAGAAAATTTTAAGGGTGTATTTGAAATTTACCTTTTTACTTTTAGAGTGATTTAAGTTAGAATTTTTTTTTAGTAGTTTGGAAGTTTTATTATGGTATGTATAGGTGATATTTGCAATCAGCGCAAAAGAAATTGATTAGGTTACTTTTGTTATCAATTGACCAAAATAAATTAGATGATCACAAAGCCAAATTATACGATAATTCCATCCACTGCAGGGAAAAAAATAGTAAAATAAGGATTTTTATATTATTCTTCAAAGGGCAAAGTGTGGATGTCACAATCGTCATCCAGAATCATTCCATTTTATCCATACAAACGTAATTACAATTTAAGAAGAAGGAGGAATCATTGACAATGGATACGCTTAGTCAAGTTTTGATTATGAAAAGTGCTAACCAATGAAAGAACTACATTTCACCAACAACCAAACACCAACCTTCATCTTCATCAGCCCGATCCCACACAAGTCCCACATCACAAAAGCTCGTAGTATCCCCACTTTCCTCATCACCATCATTTTCACCGTCCTGATCATCATCATCATCCTCATCCTCAATTTCAACGGCTCCTGAAGAGATTTCGATTTCAAATTCCGCCACAAAATCACGATGAGCCAACTCACATGACTCCTCATAGACCTCATCCTCACAATAATCATCCTCATTCCAATAATCATCATTATCCAAATGATCCAAGACCCGACTAGCCGAAAACCCGGGAAAATTCAAACCGGGCTTAGCATCGACTACCCGCCAACTAACCAACCGATGATTGGAGACCACATCGCCGGATCGGAGCTTGTGGGTGCCCTTGGCCTTGTCCTTGGACTTGGAACCCGGGTGTAGATGGCACTCAATGCACCTGGGTCTGGTACACTTGCCCGTGAACTTGGAGTGGTTCGTGGGTTTGGTTGAAACCTTGGTGAACAACCCGGCTGTTGGGGGCGAGTCAAACTGGTTGATTAATCTGGAATCGGGTCTGGGGTTAAATGGTGATGGCATGACTCGGTAGCTCCGAACCATACCGTGTTGCCGACCCTCTCTCTTCATGTTTTCTCTTTCTTTTGAAGGCTGAAAATGAAAATGAAAATGAGAGTTTGGGCGTCTCCGTTATATAGAAACAGAGAGTTGGGTAATGTTGAAGATGATTTGGAAAACTTGGGAAGCAAGAATGTGTTTTATTGGTTCAGTTTTAATTAGTGTCATTATTATTTTTAAATGACTGTTTTCTTGGTCAAATGCTACGTGCTAACCAAGCCTAGTACATTATGTGACAGCCCATCTATCTAATCCTATTATGGCTCCGTTTGGGAAGAAAAAAATCAAGTTTTTTTTAGTTAAAATAGTCACAAAAAATAAAATAGGTTTTTTTATCTACAAAAAATAAAATATCAAATTCAACCCATAATCATTACAATCCTCTCTCACAAAAAAAGTCAAAAAAGTCAAAAAGTCAAAAAGCCCTTTTCAAACTAGGCTAAAATAGTCAAAAAGCTAAAAAGTCAACCCACTTCCCAAACGGAGGCTATAATGCCAAGAAAAACAAACCCAACCACTTTGCTTGAAATTATCTTTTAAAAATCCTTTTCAAAAAATTTTACTTTTTTATTTTTCATATTTTTTTGTTTTTATTGAATTTTTTTAATATTTTGAGTAATTTTTTTAATTTTTAGACATACCTAACATAAATATACATAAAAAGTAAAAAAAAAAAATTGAAAAAAACCTTTTAAAAATTCACTAAATACCAAAAATACAGAAAAAAATACGAAAATTCAGTACATTTTTTATATTTTTATGTATTTATTAATTTTTAAAAATATTTTTTCACAAATTTTTTACTTTTTAAATACATTTAAGTAAGGTGCATCTAAAAAAGTTTAAAAAAAAATTGTTTAAAATTTTAAAAATATTCACTAAAAACAAAAAAATACGAATATCAAAAAACTCGATTTTCAAAAAATTTAATTAAAAAACTCAAACCAAACATAATGAACAATTTTTTGCATCTCAAGTCACTGTAATGTAAGTGGTGTTTTGTGAGATGGTAAAAAATTAGTTTTTTGATTTTTTTTAAACTTTTTATGTAAAAAAATAAAAATAAAGAGGTGATGTGATGTGATGTGATGTGATGTGATGTGATCTAAAAAAATCAAAAAGTTAAAAAATTAAGAAAAATGCTTCGGACCCCACTGGGGGTCGACCCCTAGTGAGGTGGCGCGCTGTGATTGGATAAAAAAAAAACTGTTTTTTTTTTTTTTTTTTTTTATTTTATTTTTTTTGAGTTTCAGCCAGTGGGGGCTCGCCACCTCACTGGGGGTCTGCAGCATGGTTGAAAAAATAACAACACTGCTACAGACCCTCACTGGGGGTCGACCCCCAGTGACGTGGCGCAACGCCATTCGCCAATTTTTTTTTTTTTTTTCCTTTCCTGCCAAATCACCCACAGCCACGTGGACTGGGGGTCGCCCCTTACTGGGGTCCCCTGCATTTTCCAAAAATTAATCTTCCCAAATTTCCCTTAAGGTTAATAGCGAGTGGAGTTGAATTGAGTTGAGTAAGTTTAATTTATAAGTGTAATAAGTTTTAAAATATATTTAAATTTAACTTATTTATATATTCAATCTCCAACAATCTTTTAACAAGTTAAACATGAGTTAAGCTATAGTAGCTTGATTTTTTTAGCCTCCGTTTGGGAAATGGGTTTGCTTTTTGGCTTTTTAATTTTTTTGGCTATTTTAACTTGAGCTAAAAAGCTTGGTTTGGGAAGGACTTTTTGAATTTTTTGACTTTTTTGTGAGAAAAGAGTGTAATGATTATGGGTTGGATGTGATGTTTTGTTTGTTGTGGCTAAAATAGCCTATTTTGTCTTTTATGGCTATTTTAGCCACAAACCAACTTGCCAAACAATACCTTAATATATTTTATTGAACTAAGCCCCCGTTTGGGAAGTGGATTTCTCGTTTGGAAAAGGCTTTTTGGCTTTTTTGGCTTTTTTGGCTTTTTGGTGAGGTATCATCTTGTTAAAAGACCAAATTGCCCTTTCCCATTTTTTTATTTTTTAATTTGGGTTGGGATTTGGCATTATTTCCGTTTTTTTTTTTCAATTTTGGCTTTTTGGTGAAAAACAAATTTTTTGGTATGTTTTTTTTTCGGTATTTTTTTTTTACAATTTTGGCTTTTTGCTTAAAATATATATATATATTTTTTTTTTTTTGGATTTGGCATATTTTTGTTATTTTTTATTTTAATTTGTTATTTTTTATTTTAATTTTTTCTGTTAGGTTTCGATTTCACCTATTTTCCTAATTTTTGATAAAAAAAAAAAAAAATTAAGGATCTGCATTTGAAACTATAACCGAACAGATTTTATTTTTTATATTGGGTGTCGATCTGCCGACTTTTGCTTAATTTTTTTATTTTTCATTTTTTTTATTTTGGGTTTGGAATTGCCATATTTTGGTTCTTCTTTTTTATTTTAAATTTTTTATGTAGGGTTTCGATTTTGCGTTTTGTTTTGTTTTTTTTTTTTTTGGGGGTTTCGCTTTGGCATTTTTTGCTTTATTTTTTTTGTTGACAATTTTTTCATGTTGGGTTTCGATCTCCCGAATTTTGCAAATCCAAATTTTTTATTTTTTATTTTTTTTTGAATATATTTTTCAGATTTTGCGCTAATTTTTTTTTTCTTTGAATTTTTTTATTTTGCGCTTGGATTTTTCGTATTTTGTTTAATTTTTTTTCCTGTTCCTTTTTTTAATTTTGGGTTTGGATTTGGCGTATTGTGCTTAAATTTTTCGATTTTTATTTGCGAATTTATGTTTTTGTCTTTTTATTGTTTATTTTTTTTACTATAACTATGTTATTTTTTTTTTGTCTTGGATTTTTATTTTTAAGTATGTCTTGTTTTTTTTTTTAATTGGTATACAATAACTTTTTTTTTAATATATTTATGTGTTTCATTTATTTGTAATTTACGTCGCACATGACAATTTGTCTATTCTTTTTCTTTTCCATTTGTTTTTATCTGTTTCACCTTTTTTTTGTTTTTCCAAAAGCAAAATTTGTATGGATTGTTGTTTTTCAAAGTTAAACACGTCAGCAACTGGAAGGGGTTACATTCCCGTGGAAACTCATACATATTGTACATGATAATATATTTGAATACAGTCTGTTTCACGTGTGTCATTATGTGACAACCATACGAAAATTATTTTGACTACTATATATTTCCTAACATTCCGTTCTTACGCATGTAACATAATTTGTTGCGTATGTGAAGGCGGACCAATGCCATATGGGGGTCCTCATCTCCAACCATTAAACCATCCTCGTCATGTTCAACTTCTGGTATGGCATTTACTATTGTTATAGCGATCCCGGATTTACCCTTGTTGTACAGTGATCCGGACATGTGTCCGTGGATTGTTGGTAGTTGATTATTATCTTGTTTACATCATTTTTACCTCGCATTTGAGTTATAGGATGTGTTGGGCAGGTTTGTTACAGGTTGGTTAGGTTTAGAAACCAAAACTAGTTGCCCAAATTTTGACCTGTCCGCTCGAGCGGGGGTTTTGGCGCTCGAGCGGGAATTGCACCCATCCAGTATTTCCTATGCAGTGTTGGACGCTCGAGCGTGGAGTTGGCCGCTCGAGTGGGGTTGTGTGAGTACCGCTCGAGCGGGGATTTGGAAGCTCGAGCGGAGACCTGGTTCTGTAAAAGTTCTGGGAGTGTGTATCCGTCGCTCGAGCGGGATTGTTGACACTCGAGCGGGAGTCTGTGAGTGACGCTCGAGCGGGGTGTTTGATGCTTTTTTTTTTACTTTTTTAATGTATTAGTGCTATTAGTGGTGATGTTTTTAGTGGGATGAATCATTGTTGGCTACAAAACATGGGGTGACGAGGGTCGTCGGTTGAGTCAAACCCCACGTGTAAAATGGCTTGGAAGCCTCGTTTGCCTTTGGTTTTTTAAGTTATTAAAATATTTTATTCTTTGTCACATATTAAAAGAATTCAAATTATTTTTTGGACAAATTACATATACCCCTCGAGATTTAAAAAAATTACAGATACCTCCTTGAAATTTAAGAAATTACAGATATCTCCTGAAGGTATTATTTGCATAACAAATTAGGAGGCAAATTGTTATGAAAATATAAACTTCAGGGAGCGATTTATTATGAAAATATAAACCTCAGGGGGTATTTGTAATTTTCGAAACCTCAGGAGAAAATTTGTAATTTAACTAAATCTCAAGGGAGATATATGTAATTTGTCCTTATTTTTTAAAATAAATAGAAAGATCCCAAAGAAAATAAAAAGAAAAATTTAGTCAAAACCCTTCTATTAGACTCTTGTTTGGTGAAAATGACAGATTAATTTATTTTGTGTCATAAACCCTCTAAGGAGGAGGTACATAATTGAGTCAGAACAAAGTAAAATATTCTTTTTATTCTCGGACAATATTATCAGAGTAATATTTTACTGTCAAATAAAGTAACAGTAACTTGTTACTATTTATATTAATTTTGACGATAATAATTTTTTGTTATAAAGAATTTCATAGTCAACATAGATATTATTTAATAAATCTTAATGAGAAGATTCTAAAAATACTAATTTTATTAAAAATTGACATCTAAATCAGAAGTTACATTATTTTAAAATTTAATATTTTAGTAATAATAGTATATATTGAACTTTTTAAGAAAATTTTTTGTGCTTATCTTTAAATATTAAAGTTTTATTATGATGGAATTTTGACCAAATCTCCCAAATAAAAATTAAGTTCTGAAAAATTGAAGCGCACTCAAATTATAAGGTTAAATTTGAAATTTTGTGACAATTGTCCTAAACTCTATTCTTTTTTGTCTATAAGAATAATAACAATTCAAAAGACCATATTATTACCTAAAAAAAAAAAAAAAAGACCATATATATTCTTACCTAATTATCAATTTGTCTACCTATTTATCAACTATCACTGCCAACGATTTTTCCAACATGAGTGACTCTTTTGACTTAGGCCATGTTTGGTAGAGCTGTGGGAAAGTACTTATAACTTATGCCTTAACAGCTTATAACTTATAACTATGAACATAAGTTGATTTCTG